TAGTTCAGTAGTAGGAAGAAACGCTAGTTTCCAGCTTACTGTTTGGGGTCTTCCGCGGTCTAATTCAATCATCCCTTTGAATGTTTGTCCCTCTGCGCCTGGTGGAGCTTCACCTTCCGGCGATGGGGTTCGTGGCAGTACTTGCAAGCCGCACCCATGTCGCAATTCCTCCCAGTGCTCTTTTGCCACATGGAGACAAAGCAGCAGAGGACAGGTCTGATGAGACCATGTCAGAACAAGTTTGAACTCACGCCGGATTCATTTCAAGCAAGTTGGGAAGCAAACTGATCATCTGCCAGCCAAGGCTCCCTGACGCGTAGAAGATGCAAGGTCGCCGGCAGAATTCCGGGTGTCCCAGGGAGCCCGGGAGAAGCTGAGCAGCTGGTGGCTCCCAATGCTCGACCTGACAGCGAAGTTGGGTCCAGTTTGCAGGTCCCCAGCAGAAAATGCAGTTCGACACTTGAAGGAAGCTTGCATGTCATAAGGAAGCTGGAAGGCGTACGTGTGGCGGGTTGTTTTTGTGTTGCTGCAGCTGATCTTTGCTTCACGTGATCCGCACGTCATGACCCAGGCCCATATTTCAACAGCCTGTCGTGCAGCGGTTGAATAAGGATGTTCCGAAAAGCATAGTCGAACAGGAAGTACGCGCATCAAGAAGGGTATATTTGAATTGTCGAGGTCACTGGCAGCAAGACCTACATTTTGCCACCATGTCATAGCTATTCTTCTTCGCCATGGTGGCAAAGGGCTTTGACTAAAACAATGATTCCATGCCGGGATTCGCAGCTGCTGCGTACCAGAAACTGTTGACGGAGAACTATCCTATGAAGCTACCCGCACTTGGTTTCTCTAAAATATGTTAAAATTTGTCAAGTACGAGCCGCAGAAGACTCATGGACCCGATCCTGAGCTTACTCGTTGCCAAGTCGTCTTGAAGTCTTACGAGTTTTTTCAGTCCAGCTCGTGCTGAATGGCCACGAGAGCAGAACCCTAGCATTTGGCAGAGGAAAGTCCAGGCCTCTTCTTGAGCGGTCGCTTCGGACTCCACGTTTGGACGCGGCTTGTCCAGTTGAAATTCGTCGTCTGTCGAGATGAAGCCGTCTCCCTCAAGTACAGCACACCAGTACGCGAGCCCTCACCGGCTTTCCAAATGCACAGCATGTCATTGCAAGGACGCGCCTGTTTCTCTGCTACCTCGCAAAGAGCCGGATCAGCTGGGCAATCTATCTCGGGCCCCTGCTGCACCTAATCCAGAGGCCAAGATGTTGGTTTAGAAGCTTGTTGGCCGCAGATTGGTTGCATGGAGGCTGCCAGTGCTGCTCAGCTGCTGGACCAGTATGCAACAGTAGAGGCAACTAGGCAAACCGAAAAATATTGAAAAACTATCCATGCATGAGGTGGGTCAAACGCATACTCGTTCCCATCGAGTCACCGTGACTGATTCGTTGGCCTCGAGCGTGGGCACGTTCCACATGACGGGCGGGACGCCACGTGCCCAAAGTGTTTCTAGCTGTTGAAACACCTCAGTTGCTTATGACAAACAAGCTCTTCTTTGGTCACGGCCATGTAGCAGGGGTGAATTACTAGAGCCAATGAGCAAAGAGGAACGACATGATATACAATCCTTGTTCTACAGTTGGAGATGCAGGCATGCACGGCCACCGTAGGGAGAGCAGTCCTGAAATCTGAAGATGAGGGCAATGTGGGACTTCAGGGCATGTCTTCCTGTTCACTCCCGACTTTGGTCGGCGTCTGGGTCATGGATGAGCTTAGGGAGGGACATGTCGTTAGCGCGATCCGAACCATCAGGTAGCGGCAAAGGGACACACCATCTGTGTGTGCGCGTGCAGGCCATGATACGGCTGACCGGCCTCGCTTCACCTTGCCAAGGCACGCCGTTCAAGTACTTCTCGGATTGGTCTGTCTGTGCACAAACCTGATGCATCAGGTCCGCTAGGCCAATAGGCGAATGACAGCACGAATTCTAAACAGACTGTAACGTTCATAAGCTGGTCGGAGATGCATGCAAACTAGCCTTACCATGCGAAGCTGGTACCTATACAGTGAAAGCCTCAAAGCTTGAACCAACACAGGGCACCAAGACTGCGAAGCTGCCTGTCCAGGAGTGCGAGCTGGCACACTGGAGGCGCGTCGACGTCCAAGTGCTGCGGATTGCTCCTGGAAAGGCATGCTTAAAAAGTCTTTGTGGAGCCCTTCCAGCAGCTTCTGGGCTCGCTTGGATGCCGAATGTAACATGCCTTGATGCCTTCCAGTTCGGGCGTTGGGCAGTTAGAACAGAAGCTTCACACTTTCAGCTCTCTCCCAGCTGGAGGCAGCCTTTTCCAAGCTGCCCGTGCCCAGCTTGCAACTAACTCAGGTACATCACAAGGCATCCAATGGCATCTCGTGATGCAAGTGCTCCTCAGCGAAAAAAATCAGAACATCAGGAGTGTCTCGGCCCAACGGCAAAAAGTCAGCAGTTTCAAGTGTTGGGCAATGGTGAAGTGTGCTATCTAGGCACCTGGGCAAGCAAGACGTACAAAGGAGGGGGATGCTCCATGAGAGTTTGCTGAGTTCACAGGCCCCATGCGCACATGCCCAAAGGACTGCTACATGAAAGTCTGCATCTGCATCGACAAGTGTGGATGTACACCATGTTCGTTTTGAACTGCCGGCTGCTGGGCTTACGACAGGCAAGAAACGGAAGCTCCGGTCCTCATCCAAGGGGACCTGAAGGAAGGTGTTGCGGTATAGAGCTGGTGCCATTCTCGTACCTGCCAAACGTGCAGCACACTGCAACTGAAATAGACGCTGCAATTGATGCGAGGCTTGTCAAGTGCTGGGAAGCTCAGCCTCTGTGCTGTACGGAGCTGAGCTGGCAAATCCTTGTGCGCAGGCAGCCGTTGCAGCTGGACATTGTGAGTTCACAAGCCACCAGAAAGTCAAGCTGCAAGGACCTGCGAAAGGGCGGAGCAGGCCGCTACTAGCCTTTTGCTGGAGCCCATGGCCACATGCGGGATTGCCCAACTCCAAGGATGCCTACATGCCACTGAGCACGGAGGCAAGGCAAAGACTATTCATTCGTCCCACGAATCCTGGAAACCCCCAGCCTATCCAAGAAAGTCTCTTGATTTTCTTCATCCGCGCAGATCAGCCTAAATGGCGATGAGCCTCGGGTCTGAGGCCAAGCGCCCGGCCCTCTAAGCACCTCATCCCCTGCTGGCCACGCGCGCTAGTACCCAGTATCTCCAGCAGAAGACCCCTGTGCAGCAATATCTGTTGGCGCCATTGTTTCAGCAGCCTCATCTTTTAGCAGGTTCGTCAACAGGCCGCTGACCCCAAAGCGAAATGTGAGAGGTTGCAAAAAGTCAAGGTCGGCTGGCAGTATTTCTTGCACGAGATGGATATAAGCCATGGCCTCCTCGTGAGTGCGCACGCCACCAGAAACTTTGAGCCCACGCTGCACCAATTTATCTCCGTCACCAGAGCACAAGTCACGAATCACCTGCAACATGATCCTTGCAGCCTCAAGTGTTGCCCCGGTTGCTGTCTTGCCAGTGGATGTCTTGATGAAGTCGGCGCCGTTGTGGAACGCATCCAGCGCGGCTCTTGCGATGAGGTCAGGGACTCGAAGCTCCCCTGTCTCTAGAATAACCTGCACTCGCACGCAAATGAAGCGCCACCAACTCATTACAAGCTAAAGTAGAAAACAGGCTCCTTTCACAACACAGATGCCTTCAGCAGGCAGCTTCGACCAGTTTCAGCTGTAAAGCTCACAATAGTCTCCTTTGTCATGCGGACCAGCTCGCAAGACGTAGGCGATTCAGAGGAGGATACGTACTCCTTCGACCCAACTCCCCGCTTGAAGACACCGCATGACGGCATGTTAATGGTGCCCAAGGCTCAGGATTGCTGGCACGGAAGTTCGAACTGCTGGAGGCATCCTCCCTTGCAAGATTGGCCGTTAATGGGGCAACATTGCACAGGAGGTTTGGGGCTCCTTGTAGCAGATCACGAGGTCAATCTCATCAGCGCCAAGCTCCAGGGCATGCCTGGCCTCCTTGGCCTGAGATCACGATGCAAAGGCGGCTCTGGGTAAAGTCTAAACTCCTTAAAGGGGGTGGTTAGATAGGGCACACGCATCGCACTCAATTTACATAGGGTTTAGGGTTCAGGAAGCATTACAAGCAAACCAACATGAGAAACCAACAGAAAGACATGTTGACGCAAGCAGAATACAGCCACACACGAGCAAACAAGCCAAGAGCAGTCCTGACTATGGCAGGGCGCTACATCTGATGGGCTGCCGTCGCCACTGGGGAAGTTCACTACCGTGGCCACCCGCATGGCAGGTTGCCCCAAATCGATGATCTTCCTGTCTGCAAGTGCTACGAATTCTTTTAAGCATGCGGGCCCTGATTGCAAATGCAAAGGGCAAAGAATCACGACTGCCATATGTGGCATCGGAACCAACAGCGGCCGAGTGGCGCCTTCGCAGCTTTGACAAACTCTGGGAACACGCACACCGCTTGCACAGCAGTCGCGAGTCGGTTCTGGCTGGAACCTGCTTTCAAAGAGCCGCATAGAGTTGCAAGAAACAGCTGCGACGTGATTATCACCTAAATGAGGGCCATGCAGACTGAACGACAACGTGAGTACGTTGGTTGAATCGTTTCAGCCTGCCTTGAAGGACCAGCTCCGCGACGCTGCTGTCTGTATCCTTCCCTCTGTCCAGTGTTGTCAAGTCCATTAAGGACACGATCTTCCTCCTCATCTGCTGTCTCTGCGTCTCCATTCTTTGTGGAACCGCAAGTGATGTGCTACTTGTAATGCCGTATGTTTTGTGGTGATTCAGTGTGCTGACACTGCAGACTGCTCATTGCCCTTCGTCGTGTCTGAGCAAATGCCGGTCAAGGCAAGGCTTTGACGCTACAACTCAAGAGACACTAGCAGGCGACAGAATTCCGCTTGGCTCCCATCCATAAGCGGGCCAGCGTAACCCAAGCCGACCTCCTTAAGCTTGAACTTGAGCCCTGACTCCTCCATGGCAAACCATGCACGTTGTGCAAACGGGCACCTTGCACGGCTTAACTGGAAACAACCTTTGTATCATTTAAATGTGTGACCCTTCATCACCTCAGTTGCGGCCGAGCAGCATCTTGTGCATGACCTCTGCTATTGTGGCAGGTGAATCTCTACAAGCTACAGTAGCGGGCAGCGCACACAAGAGCGGCTCACATCGCCTGTGAACCTGCCTGCAGTCAACTAGTACAAGCACTCTTCCAAGTTGCGAGTACATAGTCGTCTGGTCCTGCACCCTGACGAGCACGTCCGGCAGCCGCAACCGCCATTGTGCAGCCAAACCCAAGTGCCAGGCTGACCTCAGCGGAAAGAAACGGAATCTCAAACAGCGCGCAGCTACTTGCTGATGCTGGTCCAGTACCGTTGTCCACCTTGCACGCTAGTCCAGTTACCTTCCTGCAGTATAGTAAGGTTGGCACCAATATTAAGGTATTGCGTACCTCAAGCATATGCGCATGTATGTGGATGACTTTGATTGTGCGGAACCATGTGTAGCTGACTCTTTCAAAGTCCAGCCCTGGCAAGCAAGTGCAGACTTGACAGTGCCGCAATTATTCTCAGAGGCGAGAATCCTTCCCTCAGATCCTTCAAGAGTATATACAAATATAGACAGCGCAAGAAGGATAACATGCACAATCCTGCTTCCTGTGTAGAAGGCGATTCTTACTACACTTCCCCAAGTTTTGCTGCATGGCTCCACATGATACAAATACCCAATCCGTGCACGTCGGTGCGTGAGCCCCGACGCTTCCACACCGGCATCTCAAGCAATGGGACGTGCTGACCAGCTCCCTGAATGCAATCGTACAATCTTACAACAACTCGTTTCACTGCACAGGTGCATGCGAGCAAGCAATCTCCAAGCATATAAACTCATATCTCCGGCAATATTTCACTGCCGTATTGACAGGTGAAAGGCCCGGTGATGTTTTCCAGAGGAAAGGTTCTCAGCCATTCGCTTGGCGAACCTTTAACTTGGTCTGGCTGAAGAGTGGTGTTGTACTCATACATTCTCACACCTCTCCAAACCTGAGCTGACAAGAGTTGAACGTGCTCGGCATGATATGGCCCCCAAGAAGGCCGTGCTCATCGCACCAGCCCCGCTCGTGCTGCCAGGGGGCATTGCAGTTGACAAGAGAGTGCAAAATGCTGTACCATTTCGCATCACGTCGACGATACATTACCTGCCGCATACTGTAGACCAACACCAACAACACAAACGCAATGATTGCATCTGCAGATAATCCTTCAGTCTGCGGTTTCCTGGCAAGAGCACAGCCTTTCTTTGTAGGTCTTGAGCTACTTAGCCTTGCAAGTAAAGTGGGAAATCCGGCAAAACAGGCCCACGCAAAAGGAAATCCGGCGCCTGTAAACGTCTGCCTTTTCATTTCTGAAACCTGAAGTAACACACGCATGTTGTGAAGATGTTGCCTTTCGCAGGTGCGCGCAGTGCTGTGTGGTTTCCGGAAATTCGCGCTCTGCGCTGCATTTGCAACAATTTGGCAGAGTTGTCCTGCACAAACCCACGCGCACGGCGGGAAGGATCCTGAAGGACACAGTATTGGATACCTAGTTCCGCCTCTAGTTGAAGGGTTTAAGATGCAAATGAGCGAGAGGACTGAAGCCACCCGATTCTTTTGCGACGAGCCTGCAGCTCCGTGCTGAGCAATGCCGAAGATAGAGAGAAGCTCGAGAAGGACAAGGCAAAACTCCTTGAACCGCAGTCACTAGTCGAGATAAAGCTTTACGCAAGACATCTCACAAAACGCTTTCTCAATCAACTGCCAGGCGTCTTTGCACGAATCATTGCCGCCAAGTCCTTGGTTCGCACATGTTCGCACTATCTCACAGAGTCTCCGGACTTCCTGCCCTGACGTGTCTAATATCAAGAAGCAGGCTTTGATTGGGCCGTTGGACATACTACCAATTAACGATGTCTAGACATGCAGCCAAGCGAAAACAGCCGGTGTCACATGCGTGACTGAATTCTGACAAAATCAATCGCTGAGGCTCTGCAGCCAACGTAAAGTCTTGAGGCCGTATGATGCTGATGCCATGCTTCTTCGCGTAGTCCACAAGCCAGCTGTCACAAGCAGCATCGGACCGCTTGGTGGCAGGGTTGCTCTTTGCGATGATCTTCAGACTCTGGTACCCAAACTCTGAAACAATCTTCTGGTACATGCTGCACGGCGGTTGGGCCCACTCGTATCTCCCGTACTGGCGAATGTCGTCGGCACGCAAGTGGATCGTGAGAACTCGCTCCCCCTCATCACTCGGTGCACGCACGAGATCGGCAAGAGTCTGACCCAGGTAAGGTCGCAGAAACGCCTGCATTACCTGGTAGTGGTGCCACGCAGGGACCATCCGACAATGCTGGTGGTACCATTTATGGGTTGTTTGTGCTGGGCAGGTGCTGGGGATGTTCAAGCCCTCATGACCATCAATCCCTGGGAGTGCAAGCTCTTGAGGCATGTCCAGTAAACCGTCCTGCTGCTGGTAACGCGTGCTGATGTGGGGCGGGAATGTGACGTGTGTGATGCGGCAGAATAATGCCGCCACTATGACCTGGCTCACCTGGAAATAATGGTTGCCAATCCTGCCATTCCACTCACTGACTCGAAACTTGTCGGGACATTTCGCCTTACCGCGTTGCAGGTTTTCCTGATCGACCAGATAAAAAAGCGAGGACATGTTCTGAGAAGTTGACTCAGTCGCACTTGCCACTGTGCTTTGCAGATTGGCTGTAGCCATGTGCAATTGGTCTGAGTGTAGGGACGAGCTGAACATGGATGTTGTGGAAGGGTGTTGTGGGGGTTGAACTGACGTCGCTGTGGGTGTCGTCATTGGCGTTGTCACTCCTGATGTGATTTCGAGAGCGATGGCTTCAGGCTGTTCCGGCATCCTGGGAGTCTGCGTCTGCAAAGTAATGTTGAAACCAGCTCCGTCAGCTGCTTGGTCTATTAAAGCGCTGATGGAGATCGGGGCCAGCCTTTTCATTTCGCCTCGGACAACTGCCATACTCCAGGACAGCTGGTTGTCAGCAAAATATGTCCTGCCCAAGCAAATTAACATTAGCAGCGGAAGCGCCACTCTCAAAACGCATCGTGGTTGGCAATGGCGGGGGTTCTCACTGGGCTCCATTCCCCGAAATCACCTGCACCGTAACTTGGAGCGACCTGAAGAAACCTCACCCATGGAAAGCGGCAGGTTCTTTGCCTGCCAGCCTATCCTCAAAACAGCCACAAGGACAGGCAGCATTGCTCTGGGATCACGAGGCTTTCAGAAAGGTCAGTACCGTGGTACAATTTCTCAGCGTATGTCCTTTGTGCTGTGTGGATGTGCTAGTGGACCTCAGGAACTGGCCCATGTTGGAGAGTTGAGCGTTGTCTAGGTCTAACTTCTCAACGTTTTGGCCTGCGTGCCAATGGTACAGTAGATGAAAAATGCTTCTGGAGCGCCTCGATGGCAATGAAAGCCGTATTTGGAAGAAACATGCTGCTACATAAGGCACAGGACTCGGGTCCAACCATGGCTGCAGAAGCAACATTAATGTGATGAGGCTTAAGCTTGGCGACTTTGCGCTCGACTCGACCGAATGACTATGCTACACTATGTTGCAGTGATATGCAATGATCAGGACGGAGGGTTATCTCTTCGTCTGAGGCGGCCCATGAAGAGCATGGGCATGAACTCAGCTCTATTCAGTCCCGCAGCTCAGCCCAACATCTGCCAAGGCACTGCGACTGCCAAGATGCAGCGCCGACGAGTAGAATGTAAGCGCATTAGTTGTTTGGCAACCGACAGATATGTCTGAACCCTGAAGCTGATGAACTCTGCAGGGTAGCGGGCTGCCCAGATTGACTGCTACTCTTCGTGTGTGTCATTGGTCCATGCTACAAAACGTGGACGGCTTGCGACCAAAGTCTTGCATGAGTATCCATGGCGTGCACTTTCAAGCTTCAATGTAGGGCGTTGTTGTCATGGTTGGTAGCTTGGCCAGAACTACAAACTGAGCCAGAAAGAGCAGCATGAGCAAGAGCGCGCTGCAGACAGCAGCCACAGAAGTTCGGCACCAACAGACTGACAAATGGCGACGCATCATTCATGGTCTTTATTGCAGACCCAAACTCATTCACATCGAGAGAACTACATCTTGCGCTGGCACCTGCTCCACCTCAATCCCGTGGTTCACAAAGCTCATCACCATCTCTGGGCCTTGGCTGTACCAGCGCGGGTGCTTAACATCTGGCTTTCTGAGCCACGGTGGACGAACCACGGTGGAGTGCTTAGAATCATCATTGAGGAAGCGTCCCATTCCCTCTTACACTGCCGACTCTCTGAACATGGTCTGAGTCCTTGAGGCTCACGCAACTGATTTCTGCCCGCTTTCCTAGACCTGAAGCGAGCATTGCAAGGGATGGTACATATAAATTTGAAGCCTTGTGGCGTTCCTGCCAAAACTTTGCTCATCTCTAAGCCTCTACCGCGTGTCTCTCCGAGTTTGATTTGCATCTGCTTCGCATCGTTTCTTGCGCGCAGTTTCTGACATCTCAGCACGTGGTCCATGGCTTGCCAAGTCCACTTTAACATTTTCTCAGGGGTCTTGATACAACTGAACTGCAGCATGACTGCCGTCCGGCAGGGTTTGCGATTATTATACCATACAATAGCACTTTGGAAGCACAGGAAGCTTCTATGTCTGCACGGAGAAGCCTAAAGCACCACCACCATACCAGAAGCTGCCGCCTGGCACGCCGAGGAATTTGTGGAAGGGGGTCAGAGCGTGTGAAACTGGTTGGGGCAATGTCTGCAGCAACCAGAAGACGCTCATGGCCCATCTGCAGTCACGCAGTTTACGGATGGCCCATATGCATCAAGCCGGTCTGGCCGTATCCCCAAGTCCACAAGACACCACCTTAGTATCTAGGAAGCAGCAAACTCCATGCTCAAAGGCTCAAAGGGTCTGTGGTGATTTCCGAGGCACTCCAATGAAATTTGGCACAATTAAGGCCCTAATTTCAGTATATTCACCGGATCCTGGGAAACTGGCTGTCGGTGATGACTGCAGAGTGATTGCCTCAGCATAAACACGTCCACTTGAAATGCTGGGAAGCACTCAAACTCAGACTGCAATGCACAAAAGGGGGTGGTTGCACATCAAAGCATGTACGCCATAATTTACTGATGATCGACCTCGCTCATACTTGCATATGAACCTCACGCATGGCCTCCCAAGGCAATGAGCTCCGGGACGGGCTGGTGCCCATCTGGTGCCTGAGACACGGGCAAGCATTTCCCAAAACAGAAGAATGTGCCTTTTGGCCAGAGACATGATATGTGTTCAGGCTGCGAAATGATCTCCGCCTGCTTAAAATCACGAAGACTTTGACTTGAAGGCCGCTTGGACGCGCGCCTGTAGGCTCACCGGAGCAGGATCCTGCAGGACGCCACCGCCCTGCAATGTGTGGGCGGTGCCAAAAACCTAGAGGCCAGCCCTCTATACCATTTAACACGTTATCAAGCTTTGCTGGCTCTTACCCCTGTTTCCATCAAATAACATAGATTACTACGTCATCGTTTTATTTACTCTGAATGTGTACTCCCAGCTGCTCACCACATCAAAGCCCAGATCGCTTGGGAGTATGCATTTCGGGACTTTCAAGAGCCCAAAATCCCAAAATGTGTACTCTCAGCTGCTCCCCCCATCAGAGCCCTGATCGCTTGGGAATCCTAAAATGCGTACTCCCAGCTGCTTTCCCATCAGAGCCCAGACCGCTTACCTGGGAGGCCCTGGGACGCCCTGCGAGGCCCGGCGGTCGGTTTTGTCTTTTTGGTATTTTTGGTGTGGTGAGAAATGACCCTCCCCCCTGGCTCTCAGGCCCCCTGGTCCTGAAATTCGCTCGCAGAGCAGGCCAAGGACCCCCCAAACCTCTCCAGGATCCACCCTGAAAAAAACCAGCCAGAGCTTCGACCACCAGGTTTAGGGTAATGACTTATAAGGGACCAGTACTGGTCCACACATGTTGGGATTTTCAAGGGGCCCAAAATCCCAAAAAGTGAAGCATGACGCCTTCAGGCTCTTGTCTGCATGCCCTGCAGCCACATGTTGCATGCAGTACTTCTACAAACCAGCGGCACAGACTCAAAAACATGTTCCGAGCTTGTCGGGATCACCCCAAATCCTAGTCATGGTGAGGAGCAACCTGCCGTAGTAAGAAAAAACATGTCATGGTACCAGCACGTTATTCCGATAATTTGTGTCAATTCTATATGAATCGGAGAGACCCGAAGTTTGGTCCCAGCTCTTGTTACTCTCGGAAGAAAGTTAGACATGCATAACATCAAAGAGTTGAGCCCTGTGTCGCGATGTCTGGTTGCCTCCCATGAGCCACGCTTCAACATGTGTGACTGTAATTCGCACATCCTGAACCTGTTTTCTGGGGCTTGAGGTCTCTTCTTTGATTCTGGGCTCACATCGAAGACTGACTAACTATTATCATCGACTCCTGCCTGGTCCTCCTCAAGACTTGTTGTTTGTGCTTCTCACTAAATATTATAGAACTACACTCAACTCTCGCATCGTGGACTCTCAATTGTCAATGCTTCAGCAACACAGAACTCTCAGTAAGTCCCACTAAATACCCTTCATCCATAAACACCTCGTTGCATTCAAAAGCCCTGGACCGAAACTGCGAGGAGCTTGCCCGTGCGAACACCTGAGAAGGACTGCCCTGCCTCCCGGCCAAGTTTCGAATAACGGTTGGAACCGTATGTGTAAAGCCTCGCGCAGTTGGAATATGTTCTGCAGGCATTTTCAGATTGGCATCCTGAAGCTCTGCGTGAGGCCTGCCATGAGCGACAAAGGCCTGGGGCGACAAAGGTGTCGGCTGCAACAAAGAACGCAATTTTCTTCTGCTAGTCCTTTTGCTTCTGCGCGTGTTGGGGCTGAGAGAGGCTCAGGGCCTGACTGAGTGTTCAGGGCCGCACGCAGCAGCTGTAACACCCTCGGCCTGCCATCTGAATCCAGATACACTCTTGCCCTCTTCGCATTTCTGATTCTTTACGGTCTGCTCGCCACATCTTGCCGCGTTGCTTGGCGATATGACTGGCATATTGTATCATGAGCTAGTGAAATGCTTCCGAAGTTTGGCTTGCCACTCCTTACAGTGCCTTCCAGTTGGCCTTCCACGTCTCTGTTTAGCTTTGAGTTGTGCACTGTGCACGACCTTGAATCTGAAGAAAGCTTGCAGGCTTGGAGTTTCCGAGTAGGTATCGGCATAAATGAGCTTCCCATGCTTGACAGGTGGGAGCTTTCCCGCACAAGCCACAGCTCTGTTGACAACTGGATGTGTCTTTCTTTGAGTACCCTCCCGGTGTTGGCCTCGGTGTGGTGGACCTATACCTATACTTGTGCTATGAACGCTCGCCAGTGGAGACTGCACGCGGCCTTTGCCTACTTTGGCGAATCCTTTGTGGCATGGCGAGAACTTGCCGGGTGCCTCCTCAAGAAGCGTTGGTTGCTCGGAGACCTCTGGCCTTGGGCTCTGCAAGGGCACCCTGGTGTCGTATCGTACCACTTTTGCGACTGTCACAACAGCTATGCATCAGTGGCTTCCAGATCTCACAGGTTCTACAACCATTCTGATACATGCAAGGTCATTTCCATGAGCATGGATGCACCAAGCCACGGACGCGTCAGAGTTATGGCCTAGGTCGATCTAATTGGGCACAAGCTCAGGCTGCCATGTGGCGTCTGGAGTGGGCTGTTGATGGGAATCCAGGCTTGTTCAAAATCCTGAGCCCCCTGCCAGCACCCCACCTCCACAAGTGTCTTCTTGGTCTGGCAGAGGCAAACCTTGGATGTGGACGGACGATTCCTATCAGGCAGTATGACGACGAGGCGGCGAGGGGATGCCAGTTGCCGTAAATTCGATCAAAGTCGCCAGCGGCAGGAAGGTGAAGCCTTGCAGCGGGTGGTCTGAGCATTCCGATCTATGCTCAACACTACTCCTTGTAAATCAAGATTTCAAGAAACACCCTAGAACTCACCTGGAAGTACAACTCTTCCATCTTGGTGCGTGCTGACGAGTTGCAGTATGGCGCAAGCTGCGCGCAGGCTGCAGAAGGGCCAGCAAATGGCTTTGTGGTGACATGCGTGTCTTCTACTGTAGTTTAGCGCATGGTAGTGCAGCTTGGGTTTGCCTGGCTTTCTTGCGCCATGGATCAGCGCACCACTGCTGATGTTGCTTCTCCTCCTCAGGCAAGCCGTAAGGCAGCTTTCCTTGTGTGCGCAGGAGGAAACTCGTGTTGCAACACGGCCTGCAGTTGGAAGCAGGGCTGGCACTGTTTGGCGGTGTCATGGCTGCTGTGTTATCGGGTAGTTTCAGAGTATGCTTTGGCATCAGCAGCACGTGTGGCTACAAAGCAAAATGCGGCAGCTGTTTGCGGCAACAGGAAGGAACAAGTGTAGCACTGGCAGCTACGTAGAAGACTCTTCTTGGCGTGCACCCCATGCCTAGGTTGTGCTGACCTACATGGCCCATACGGTCTTTGTGCTGCTGCGCGCAACCACGATGTCCAGCCAGAATGGGAACCTCATTTGCAGCAACCATCATGCCTCAGACTTGCCTGGTTTATAGTCATGCGAGCAAGGGGGTAATAGCAAACCTCTTTAGAAGTGTTTCTGTAAGCCTGTCGGGTCACGCAAAGTCCTCCATGCGGGCTCGTGCCTGCCATTCTTTGGGCAGGGCCTCGGCCACCTCTGCATGACCCTTGGTGCTGATGAGGTCCTGGTCAACATTATGTGCCAGGTTTTGTGCTAATCTCTGCAGGATGCAGGTTTCCAGCCTGATCTCCCAAGGACTCCACGGGGTCGGGAAGAACACCGGATTTCTCGAGCACGCCTCAATGAGAGTAAGAAGTTTCTAAGGACTCCGGAACTGAGGCAACAGCAAAATCAGCGAACTTGAGGCTTTTTTGAAAAGACTTCTACGACCTCCAGCTTCAGAAGAGAGTCGCTGTGCTCGGTGGAGTGAAGGCAACGATGCTTTCAGTCCCAGCTCTGAAGCAAAAAACCAACATTGAACCTTGCGAAACAGGACCGCCGGTGGATGCTGCTTCACTGTGAAAACCGCCGTTCATCGCTGTGTGCCATGCCCTGCTGTATAGGAAGACCTACGAGCACCATGATGGTTTGGAATGCTCGGTGTGGGCAAGAGAAAGCTCCTCAAACACGAACATGGCAGTCATGCACGTAACAATCGCATGAAGGCAAGGCACAGCCGACAGCAGCTGGAATCGCACTCGGATGTTCCTGGGACATGGGAAGTGGATAGTTCGAAAAACGAGCCATGCTGCCTGCTGCATGTTCATCCGAATGTACGCCCGACCTCATTAACTTTGGTTACCAAATTCGCCTCGGCCTGTTTAGCAAGCTGTTTGGGCTATCCCCCAATGACACTCGATTTGTGGACCCCCAGGATTCTTGCCGTGGAGGAAGAAGAGGAAGAAACCATTCCATTTTTGTTTTTTCAGACCTTTCAGTCCAACCCCCCTCCCCCGCTAACCCCCCACGCCACGCCCCAAGCTGGCTGCTTGCCAGCCCGGCTGCCGAGACGGATGCGCGCCAGCGCATACAACTATTCACGCCAAGCTGCAAGAGGCGCAATGAAAGGCTCAGTTCGAAGATGTCCTCCAGCACTTTCTCGTAGACCTGCGGAGAAGACGGCGGTTGATCTGCTGCCTGGAGGTTTTTGCCCGGCTGAATGCGATGTCTGCCTGTGTGAGTTGAACTATGTCGCCAGGGGCCGGTGGTGTCGGCAGCAGGACCAAAGCACTTCCAAAAGCATGCGCCAATAGGCAGGCCTTGGAAGGTAACATGACGCGCAGCCGTCGAACAGATCTGCATGTATCACCCGCAGCAGCAACAACGGCAACAGCAAGAGCAACAACAGCGGCAGCAGCAACAACAGCGAGAGCAACAGCAACAGCAACAGCGGCAGCAACAGC